GGAAAATGTATCCATCTAAGCAATAATTTCCAACTTTTTTATTTTGGCCTCTAATGTGAAATTCCCCGGTCCATTCCTGAAGAGAAGAGATCATCGCCCTACACGAACAAGGAACAGGATACAAAAAGATAGCAAAGGCACTGAATGTTCCTAGAGACATAGTTCGCAAGTTTAAAGTTGAAGGAACAGTGGTTTCTCTACCTTGACAGGGCAGAAAAAGGAAGCTATCAATGGCTGCAAACAGATTTCTGAGGAGGTAGGTTGTGAAAAATCCTCGAGTGACAGCAAAAAAACCTGCATGAAGACTTGGTGGCAACAGGCACTGAGGTTTCTGTGAGCACAGTACGGAGCATACTAAATGCAGAAGGTTTCCATGCCAGAACTTCAAGACATACACCACTATTGACCTAAAAGCTTAAGAAAAGTTGTCTCCCTTATGCTCAAAATCATACAAATAAGCCACAGACGTTTTGGGATTCTGTTCTTTGAAACGACGAAACAACACTGGAACTTATTAGCCCAATGGATCAGCGGTATGTCTGGAGGAAGAAGAATTGAGCATACACTGAAAAGAACACTCTGCCTACAGTTAAGTATGGTGGTGGCTAGGTGATACTCTAGGGCTGCTTTGCATCCTCTGGCACTGGAAACCTGCAGGCAAGATGGATTAATTAAAGTATCAGGAAAACCTAGGAGAAAACGTCATGCCGTCTGTGAGGAAGCTAAAGCTTGGGCAAGACAATCTTCCAACACCTCCCAACAAGACAATGATCCCAAGCATACCTCAAATTCCACCAAGGCTTGGTTGCAGAAGAAGTCCTGGAAAAATCTACAGTGGCCATCACAGTCACCTGACTTAAACCCATTAGAAAATCTCTGTGGGATTCGAAGAAGGCGGTTGCAGCATGCAAACCCAAGATTATTACTGAACTGGAGGCCATTTCTCATGAGCAATGGGCTAAGATTCCTCAGGAACGCTACCAGAACCTGGTGTCTGGCTATGCATCTCATTTGCAGCAGGTCATGACAGCAAAGGGGCAGGGGCAGACTGTTCAGGGACAGAGGGCCAGAGGCAGTCAGGGGCCCGGATGATCAGAGATCTCTTCACCAAGAAAAGCATAGACTTCTAATGATATGTTGCAGGGCCTCTGCAACATGTCACTCTCTAGGTACCCCCCCTTTATCATTTCTCTTTTCTCATGGAGACCTGGCAGCGATCATTCAGTTATGCTGCCAGGTCTCCAGCCCCTGTGCGGTGCTGTGTGTGTGTGTGGAGGAAGAGGTGGGGCCAGGAAGTGACATCTGTGTGTCTGAGTATCTGTATGTGTGTCAGTGTGTGCATCTGTGTATCTGTATGTTTGTGTGTGTCTATGTGTCAGTGTGTGTATCTGTGTGTCTGTGCATCTGTATGTGTATCAGTGTGCGCATTTGTGTGTCTGTGTATCTGCATGTGTGTCAGTGTTTGACACACATACAGACACACAGAAATAAACAATGACCCACATGCAGATACACACACAGATACAAACACTGACACACATACAGATTCACAGATGCAGAAATACTCACACTGACACACATATAGATACAGACACATCGATACAAACGCTGAAACACATGCAGATAAACATACACACAGAAACAGTGTATTCATGTGTGTCACTGTAGTGTATTCATGTGCGTCACTGTATATGCGTCATTGTGTGTGTGTCTGTGTATATGTGTATCTACATAGGTTTCATCACTGTATCTGCATGTGTGTCGATGTGTTTATCAGTGTGTGTGGTAGTTTATGTGTATATGTGCATACATCTTAGCATTCAAAAGCCAAGATTATACACAGATACACCCCTGCATTCAAATGCCAGTTCTACATACAAACACACCTCTGTATTAACACACTAACATTATCTATGAACACACCACTGCATTCAAAAAACAACTATACATACAAATGCATGCCTGCATTCAAACGTCAACACTACATACAAACACACCCCTACATTTACACATAGATACTCCATACAAAGAAATGCTTACATTCAAAACACAAATTTGTTCCATGCTAACTAGAAACCTGCAAGGATGGACAAATGGTAGACCTCCAATTGGCAACGCAATGTGGGAGTTGTACAACAGATGGGGATCTACCTTTTGGCAACCCTTGCGATAGGGGGGAGGGTAGGGGGAATTATTGCACCAGGGCCCTCTCAATGTTAGTACTGCCACTGCTGTGAAACTCTGTTATACACTCAGACACACAAATATTAGGGAGTTCCTGGAAAAGAAGGACATAGGATAGAAAGGAAGGACAGAGGGATTACGGCCCAAAATAGGGACAATACAGAGGTACAATACAGAGAGGGGAGAAATGAAACCACGTTTCTATTTCTCATCCTCGTCTGCAATGCTTGCCTCGGCTTTGCCTTGTCTGGGCTGAATTTTAATGTTATTTGCTAAATGTTTGATATAAATTTAATAAAATACTGAGCATCTCAAGAAAAAATGTTATAGGTGATTTTCAATGTTTTATTTAACTGCCTAAGAACTAGAGAAGTGACACTTCCCCTTTTAAACAACACACACCAGATTAACCTAACTTCACTCCAGCAGTGTCATCTAGCACCCAAAAGCTGATCATGACCAGAAGTGAGCCAAATGGCTGCGTTCCTTCAACTGCAGACAATGAAAAGTGACAGACAAAGCAGTTTAGGTCTAAAATGATATTACATTTTGAATATGAATTGTCAAGTGACACCTCTTGAAATGAGCTGGGTGTATTTAAAATGTGATGGGTCTAATTTAAAAGGATTTTTAAAAAATGGTTACAATTTAATTATCATAAATATTAACCCAAATACACCTACGTTAACATTTCTGAAGGCACAACATCTATTTTCTATATACTGTATCAAATGTTTTTCCAGATGCATGTGCAATGTGTAGGATTGCTGATGATTAATACCAAAATATTCTATAACATTTTTTTATTCATACGGCGTTAAACAAAAAAGACAATGTTTCATAGATAAAGCAAAAATCTTTTATAGATTTCCCTTGTCTAAATGCTGTATATGAATAAAACCAAATAAATATTCTCTGTGTCACATGGTTTCTGAGCTCTCACCAAGATCTTTCAATCTATTTCACATCATCGTACTCCATTACTTTACGCCTGTCGTTTTTGCATTTTGCTCACTATGAGATTGCAACAGTTTTCCCTGAATGTGATTTGCCTTTGTTGCTGCCAGAATTAACGGAAACATCTATTCGATTTCCTTACTTTTCCAGCTGAATTTATTCGAACCACACAGGTGTTAACAAGTGTGAGCAAGTATACAGAGGCATGTGGTCTCAATGTTCAAAACTGTCACAAATGAGAGGGATCATACAGAATAGGATTATGTAGCTGACACATTGTATAACAGTTTGGCACTCATGCTATAGTGAAAAAGTCCAGCCAACTTGTGAAAAGTCCCAGACTTCTAGTGACAGATGGTCATAAGTATAGGTAGCCAAAAGCCCATGTATGCTTGAATGTGGTTGCTGAGGGCTGAATTCACAGCTTGCTTCATCAAAATGGCTGTCTTTCCTGACAGTATACATGTTTATAATTAAGAGGATGTGCCATCTTAAAAATTTCAATAATAAACATTGTCTTGTTACCAATATAGTAATACGGACAACCAATGAAGGGACTTTACCTTAGAAAAAATGTAATTAAGCATGGCTTTTAATCTGAGAAAAAAGTCAATGTTACACAACAAGATTGTATGTTATTATTACCTTTAAATTAATTGAAAGAGAAAATCATATTTAACTATGTTATTAAAATGACAGTACTTAATATAGAAAATGGTCTGCCCCTTAGACACAAGCTAATATTAATCAAAAGTAAAACAGAAGAATTTAAATACAGGGTAGGAGTTTTGAGGTTGTATACAATTTATCAACATTTTTTAAAGAATCTTTTATTCAGACAATTGTATCAGTTTTTTGGATGTGGCATTATGCCCACATTCAGACACAACATTTATACTCAAATGGCATTTTTAGCACCTGCATTCCCCAAAATACCAGCAGGTGCATTACAAATACTCATACTCATGTATATTTAATAATGTCTATTTGTATTTTACTGGTGCACACCATATACACATTAAACACAATCTGCACACACACATACATTACACACAGTCACCACACATTATGGGGGGGGAAGGGTGCAGAAGGTAAGACACACATATAATGGCGATCTAAGCTAAAAACAAGTTTTTTTTTTGTCTGATGAAGCCCGGAGGAGGAGGGCAAAGCACGTCATGGAGCTAAGTCACGAGGAGGAGGTGATTGTCATGATATGTGTGTTAGTGTGATTTCTGGATGGCACACCCACCACTAATCCTATGTGTTAATAAAATTATATTTTATACTGTGCCATTGGGGCGTTCCTGGTTTTATCTCCTATATAGTGGATGCTTAAAGAAGACTCTCCTGCCATTTGGATATCAAGCTGTGGGACATATTCCGTTTCCACAGAAGCCTCTCTCACCCAGAGTCCGGGTTGATAGGACTCTGGGAAATATTTTCTTCGGATTTATTATTGAATATTGTTAAGTATTATTTTAAGTGAAACACTAGTTTTTGGTTTTGTATTGTGTATTGTATGCCACTAGTTTGGAGTGATTGCTGCTGGATTATTTATACATACCGGTACTAGTTTGATAGACATGTTTGTATATATTTTTTTCGCTGTATACTTTTTGGTTATTTTAGCTTAAAAGAGCACTCCAAGCTCCGTAACCATTACACGAACAGCAGCTTGGGTTAGTCGGGCACTGATCACCTATTCCTGTGGAGCCTGGAAACGTCTGCAACAAGCTTCTGTCAGCTCCCCTGAGCTAAACCCTGCCATGTTTCATGGTGTCTAAATAAGTGATATAATCATCAGTTGTTTCATGTGTACAGAATAAAGTGAGCGAAGTGTAATCAGACTGTGCAACATGGAATACAACATCGTCAAACAGTCCAACGTAGCCCACTGTGTTGTCAAACAGTCCAACATGGCCCAATGCATCCTCAAACAGTCCAACATGGCCCACTGCACCATCAAACAGTCCAACATAGCCTACTGCATTGTCAAACAGTGCAACATGGCCCACTGCATCATCAAACAGTGCAACATGGCCCACTGCATCATCAAACAGTCCAACATGGCCCACTGCACCATCAAACAGTGCAACATGGCCCATTGCATCATAAAACAGTCCAACATGGCCAACTGCATCATCAAACAGTGCAATATGGCCCACTGCATCATTAAACAGACCAACATGGCCAACTGCATCATCAAACAGTCCAACATGGCCCACTGCATTATCAAACAGTCCATCATGGCCCACTGCATCCTCAAACAGTCCAACATGGCCCACTGCACCATCGAGCAGTCCAACATAGCCCACTGCACCATCGAACAGTGCAACATGGCCCACTGCAACATCAAACAGTGCAATATGGCTCAATGCATCATCAAACAGACCGACATGGCCCACTGCATCATCAAACAGACCAACATGGCCAACTGCATCAGCAAACAGTGCAATATGACCCACTGCATCATCAAACAGACCAACATGGCCCACTGCACCATCAAACAGTGCAATATGGCCAACTGCATCATCAAACAGTCCAACATGGCCAACTGCATCATCAAACAGTGCAATATGGCCCACTGCATCATTAAACAGACCAACATGGCCCACTGCATCATTAAACAGACCAACATGGCCAACTGCATCATCAAACAATGCAACATGGCCCACTGCATTGTCAAACAGTACAACATCGCCCACTGCATCGTCAAATAATGCAACATGACCCACTGTTTTACCAAATGGTCCAACATGGTGCACTGCATCATGAAATATATCATCAAATGGTGATCCTGGCATTCTGCATCATCAAACATTTCAACACGGTCCACTGCATCAGAAGGTGCAACATGTCTGGCAGCATAAAATTACTTGCAAGGTAAATGTCCCAGTATAAATCATAATGGGGATGTTAAAGAAATCCATGCCACGAGCTCTCGGTGACACCATGATGTCTTCACTGTGGCAATAAGACCATTTACATTTTTCGTAACACTGTTACACAGGGGCTACCCCGAGAACCAGCTAGGCTGACCACCCAGTCACAGAGTAATACTGAAATAATAGGTGTTTTCAAAACTGGAAAAACTTGGCTTATAGCTCATTCTATGCCACCTGCATCTGCTGTTTTTGTAGATCATTATCACATTCAGGTTATTTGTGCAGAATGACAAGAGAAAGATGTCTATTTACAAGGTTCAAACATCTTTGTTTGTAATATGTCAACATTTTCTGCAGAGTATTCTTTAATCACAATATCAATTTATCCTAAAGGTCTCCAAAGTATGGACACGGTGTGACTGAAATGAGCATTCTATAGTTGTGGCTAATGCCTTATTCAGAGATAGCCTTTACCTACTCGAAATACAACTCAACTGTGCTTCTTGCCCGTTGTGACGCCCCCATATTTTGTAGTCATGTTGCAGCTGCTTTAGGTTTAATTAATCTTTGTGGTTAGTCGATTCTCAAGAAGAGACAGAATGTACTGTTTCAACCTGCCAAGTAGCTGAGTCTGTAAATATGTGTTTACAATATGTGTTATAGTTTCAGATGTAAATATTATTTCTTTTGCAAAATGTATTTTTTTAACAATGATCGCAATTTTTGGATGTTTTTTTTTTTTTTTTAGAAGCTTGATGTGTGATCCATAAAAGTTCATGTTGTTTCCAGCGATAGTCGTTACACTATCTATACCATTCATTGTTAGGTTTTTTAATGGTTGATCAGTGGTAATTTCTTTTTTTAAAGCAATTCACCTGAATTTTAGAGTGATTAGGTAAGTGGTCGAATTCCTAAACTCCATGCCAAAATTTTGGGAATCACGAAATCCCATGGGGCAAACAAAAAAAGAGAGATTCATGGGAAATAGTGGGGAACAAAATGGAGGAGCAGTAAAATGACCAATGTATATTTTGCAGTAACCTGAAATGCCCATTTTCACACCCTTTTGGATAGATCCGGACTGCTTTATGGACAAAATTCATTAATCTCAAATAATGTTTTATTTTTTGAAAAAAAATATCAGAAAAAATTATTTGGCTGACTTGTGCACAAGTCTAATATAAATAAATAATATTTATTTTATTTATTTATAAAATATTTTACCAGGAAAGATACATTGAGATTTCTCTCGTTTTCAAGTACGTCCTGGGTCCACAAATCAATATCATATAATATAAACTGAGCCCTACTGCGGTGGCCAGTGCATTGATCTATAGCCAGGTGGTAGGTGTTGTTTTTGTTAAATGGCCACTCCAGGCCAGAGCTCAATATCATTTTAATCATGAAGATAAAAGTTAAACATTTACAAAACAAATTGCAAAAATGTCAAAATGTGGAGATCCAAACAGTTTCTGTAGTTGCATGTCGTTGTACATGCCTTTGTGAGATTCTGGGGACATGTGCTTAGTTCATGGACATGCATCTTGCATTCTTGCGCATGTTCAGCTATACGCCAGTGATGTGGTCAGCCAGAGGCTAAGATACAAGTTGAAATAATTTATTTTTACAAAGTAAATACAGGTTACTTTCCACTCCCCACTGGGTGTTGCCATTTTAGCAATATGTCACTTTAGGTTTTGTAAAAAACCCGCAAGTAATTGTGCGATTTGAAGGACATTTCACAGTTCCCATTCACTTGGGTACTAAATAAAAGAAGGATCTTCTCTCCTCTTGTTATTTATTTAGATAAAAAAGAATTTTCACGTGCTACAGCATTCTTAAGCAGTTTGACAAAAACTGAGCACCATCCTCTCATCTTCTGACATCTTTAAAACATGTATGTGGATATGCTAGTTTTGGCTGCATTGATGCTCTGTGGTTTTACCCCAGCTACTAAATATAATTTTAGGGGAAGTAAGTGGCTATCATTCACAGTCTCTTTTAACATATTCAGAGAAGTTATGATTGACTTCACAACTCACATGCAAGATGATTCACTGTTTGTCGCTGTAATTTCTGTCTTTTTTTTTTTTTACCAGTGGCGTTGAAACTATGCACTTATGCTGGGAAAAATAATAAGTTGTTGGGGTGTTGGTGCTTGGAATGTTATTTGGTATCTGGATTCTGGGGCAATACATGTATCATTTAGATGTTGGTAAGCAGCGTTAATCGCTAAACTCTGAATTTTAGTGAATTAATTTCAAAATAGCACTAATAAGGCTAATATAGAAGATTTGGAAATAAAATCTGCAACTCAGCTATATTAACAGCTTGGACATTTTAGCCTCAGCTTTGCCATTTGGATTTAATTTGCTAAAATTCTGACTTTTGCAAATAACCCTGAGATTCTACAATTGTCATAAAAATTCTTCTTAGATTTCAGCCAGACAGAATGTAAACAAACTGAATATGCAAATAATAGAACTGTTTTGATGTCTCCTATCACAGAGGTTGCAGTAGTCCAACTTTAGATTCAAACATATTTTATTATTCTGGTTACATGTTAATATATAAAAACCCTTAGCACTATCAACTTTCCGAGTCTGCTTGTTCAGTAACGTTCTACTGCAGGTTGTTCGTTTTAAATATTTCATTATATTTTCTCAGTAACACAAAATTAACTGCTACATCGTAAACACCTAACAAACTAAATGTAATATACATCTTACATGCAAAAATCTCGGAATTCTGATCTCATAGGCTTTATTACTGACATTTAATCCTTCAAGATATACATAATGGAATAGCTCAGAGAATCATGTTTGTAAACGTGGCTACATATTGTGTGAATTGTCTGTGTCCTTGTCTTATGATTTGTCTGTACTCATGTTTTGATTCTATATGTGTATTACCTTCATTGGCTGTACATGCCGCATGGTCCTATTCTCCCGGTTTCAATTATTGTTTTTATAATTTATGTGTTTTCGTATTTCTGCATTTACTTGATATTGGTTTTATTTTCTACTTTACCATTGATCAGGGATAATATTGCAACTGAAATTCAACTGGTTTGTTGTCAACCATCATAGCATCATGTCTTGCACCGTATGCTGTAAATTATACTACATATACAGACCCATTCTTACTGGTGATTTCAGTCTACTGTTCACTCAGACACACAAGCTCCTAGAAAAGAGAGGCATTAGGGTAGAAAAGAGGGACAAATGGATTTGGGCCCAAAATAAGGACTGTCCCTTCTAAATAGGGACACTTGGGAGGTATGGATTAGTGATTAGACATCATATTCAAGTTATTTTTCACTAAACAACTTCCTGAGACTGTCTGCTCAATAGAGTCGTCTCCAACAATTTGGCTGTAAATTTATAGCATGGTAAATAAATGTTTATTACATAAAAATATATTGTAAAGGGAGGTATTTCAATGTAAATACCCCAAACTAACAGATATATGATTCACTAAAGTGAATTTTTAAATTTCAGGTCAAAGTAGCCAAACTGGAGAAAATCTCTAAATCAGCTATACTTTCAGTTAGCTACTTTAGCCTTAAATTTGAAATTTACATTTATATTCACTTACAATTCTCACCTTAGTAAATAATCCCATGCTTATTTTATTCTTCTCAGCTTTTTGACATAAATTTATGAATTTCTGTTTTTGAATTTTCCCAGAAATTATTACTCTCCTGAATGAGACTTTTCTCCTAAACAATATCTCTTCTGTTACTGACATATGGTCCTGTTATGTGCTGTAAAATATCTTAAAATATCTCATTATGTGTGGAATAAAATATCTTATCCCAGAGTCCTCTCCACTTTGCATTGCATTGTGAGAAAGCAATGGGGAGAACTATTTCTGTGCTCAATCCTTTTCTCCTGAAGTGACTGTGATCATAAAAGAGACATTTTAAGCAACGCAACCACATTAGCTCAGTGTTGCGGCTAAATTGCCAAGAGTCTGTAGGTGCCATTCCCCATTTTATTTTTCAGTAAATGTAAGAATTCAAAGTGAATTTAAATTTTATGGCAAAAATGGCCAAACAGAAAGCAAAATTAACTAGGAGAATATTTCTAATTAGGCTATATTGTCCTAAATTCTTATATTGACTTTGAATTCCCAGGAATTCTCAATTTACTAAATAACCCTAACACTGTTTGAGAGCGGTTTTACAAAAACATGGATTCTTCTTGACACCCAGAGACTGTCACCTACCTAGCTGACTTGCTAATATAGAATTTAACTGCATTATCAACGGGCAGCAGTGATTGGCTGAGACTTGAAATACTCAGATCACTGATATGACTGCTGTCTATTTTTAAAAGAAAAATTATATTGGGTGTTTAAATTCCAAATTATCAAGCCAGGTAAGAGGGGTTGTCTACATTGTGGCTTTTGGGTGCATCAAAGAGTTCAGTTTCTGTCAAACCACTCCTACAATATTTTACAAAAATCTGAGGTGTTACCCTATTAGCAACATAAATACTCTATGATGCTGCCACTTTAAGGGACTATACTAGGAACCCTCCATCGCTCCAAATATTCTGCCGTGAAATAGGGAGGAGGTATCTAAATGATGAATCCATTCTTGCTGCTGCCAAATTATTTGCCTTGTTGAATGGAGTTTTTTTTGGACATTTTGTGACAGCTGAGATCCATAGACTAAGACATTATCAACACTATCAGTTAATTAGTTTCCTCAGAGCAACATATGTTCTTCAGCACATTAAGTTGACACTAACTGTATAATGTATTGAGGAGGACGTTGGTTGGGGTGAACGGCAAACTCTGCCATATTGATTGCTTCATTACAAAAATCC